TTCACTATCAGCATTCCAGATGGTGAAGAAGGCAGAGATGAAGATGACAAACAGAAAGTAATCATTGTTGGAGTCACTGACAGTCTTATCAAATTGAGTAGCCTGCAGCACACAGCATCTAGTAACATCAGTGAGAGCAGCTATCTGAGCTCTCTGAAATTGCATCAGAGCTGCAGACTGATTAAGTTCAGCAACAAGCTGTTGGAGCTTGTTGCAGTCAGACTGAACAACACAATTCAATCTTCTGTTAAAGAAGATCAGATCATGAAGATTGATGATCTGCTGAAGAATCTTGCTGTTCTCTGTCTATCAACATACATCTGTCAGTGCTATATTTATCAACAGAACTTGCTGACAGCACATACAGAAATGCAGAGATGATATGTCTTGCAGCATTTTTTGCACTTCTTTCTTTCTGAAAGAATGGTGCAGAAAAAATCAGAATTCTCATAGCAGAAGAAACAGTGGATGCACAGAACATATTTATCAATAAACAGTATGTTAGCAAACAGCTAATATCCACATCAAATAAACACATCAGCAACAGCATTGTAAGCAAAAAATTCACACAAATGACAACAAGTTCTTGTTGAAAAACATAAAAGCAGTGATAAAATAACAAAATAAAAGCATTCACAGCAACAAAAAGTTCATAAAACATCACAAACAGCATTGATGCTGCACCAGCAAGAATACAATATCAAAAGCAACAACAGAAATAGTCATGAAGATCAGATATTATAATAAAATCAATTACTGCACCAGAGCAGTAACTTGCACACAACAAGCAGCAAAATCAGCAAAACAACTCACCCACAACATAGAATGTCCACCATTCTATGTTCAACATGTTGATGAGACTCACAAAAGAGAAGATTCAGTCATGATAGCAGAAAGACAGATGAGTAACAGCAGACAGACAGACATAAATAAAAACACTTCTTCAAAGCAATGATGTTGTAGAAAGAAGAAGAGAAGAGAAAGAAGTGCAGCAGATTGCAAATATTCTTTGTTATTTATTCTGATATAGCACTAATCTCAATTGAGAAAAGACACTTTCAACTCAACAGAAGTATCCATCTCAACACATCACATGTGACCCACCCAACTTACATCAGCATTTTGCTTACATCACCACCACTTATCTCATCACTCTGCTTACCTCACCATGCCAGCACCACCACACCACACTCACACCCACACCACAACTGCACAACACCACTCAAGCTACTCATCATTCAACAACACTGCAAGCAGCTGAACAAGTAGATATCAACATCTAACACTACACTGATAGCAACATCTATAAACTATAATGATTGCTGGAGACAGCTCTCAACAAACAGGGGGGCAATTGTCATGCCAGACTCTAACACTAGATTCTTTAGATCTTAATAGCACACATCTCACTTGTATATAATCTCTCAACACTGCCCCCATTCTTACATGGGTCAGTGATGAGCTCTATCTACTTATAGCATATACTATATACTTGCTTCCACCACATATTCTCTTATATCCTCTACACTAGTAGCTCATTTCTGTTTTGATTATACATCCATTAGACCTAGCTCCTCACAATATGAGAGCCTCAATCACTTTATAATTGCACTGAAGTTGTAATGTGAACAGTCAGAAATATCTCATCAGCAGTATCAATCACTTCAAGAAGTACTCAATCTACTTGAGAATATTTACATTATTAAATCTCTACTCAAAGATCTTAGTGTTCTGAAGAAAAAGTATAGATCACAGTTCTTCATTTTACTTATTCAATAAACATTTATTTCAATCATCTCACAGCAGATATCATCATTATTCACTGCAAGCAGAAATCTATTCAGAGCTCTGTTACAGTCAGATTTATTCTTTCAGAACTCTATTACTTTAATTACAGCTCTTACTCAGTCATCAGAATTCCACCAGAACATACATCTTGACATGACTGAGTTAATAAACAGTTCAACTGAACTATAGCAGTTTCTCAGTTGAACTAGCTCTGCAAAATCTACTTCAAAAGACTTTACAAGATATTCTGATGAAGAATCAGTATTCTCTTCAGATTTTATTCAATACAGATGCAGTTTAAGCAAATGCTCATGCAGAGTGAGGCAGCATGTCTTTTATACAGAAAGAATTCAATTTATCATTCAGAATCAGAAATTTAATATTTTAAAATCTGACAAGATTCTTCTGAGAATTCAATCTATCATTCAATATAATCTCAATTCAGACAGCATGTTGTTTCAAGACATGAGATCAGCTTTTCACAAGAGAGAATTGCTCTTATTAAAGAACAAAAAGCAACAGATTTTATTACATGAAGAAAATATACTCAGTCAACTGAATATTTCTCTTGATTATATCTTCAACAGAAATTCACAAGATTCATCTTCTACACATGCTGGATATTTTATACATCAGATTCTCAACACAGTTAACAATCAGATGAATATTTATTCATTTAATTATAATACTTCTCTGTGTGAAGAATTGAAAATCATTCACTATAATAGAAATAATTTCAAGAGAATGCTCTGCTTCAATTATACAATAATACAGATTATCTCTGTTTCATTCCAGCTTTTTATTAATAGATTTGGATTATATCACAACATGTACAGAAATATTACAGACTTCTATTTAATTTTCATCAGATTTTCTGTCTTTAAGAGAAGAAGAAGAAATAATATCTACATCATTTTATTCAGACTGCATGTGACAAACTTCTTCAATTCAGTTGGTGCACTCACATCAGAATTTCAATCTCTCAATAAAAATATTGATGTTGAAATTATCAGTAAGAGAACTGTCAGAATAATTGCTTTCTGTCTTGCTTTTTTAAATGACATGTCACAGCTGTGATATGAGAATCAAAGGTGGATTGATCCCCCTACTGAAGGAGAACTAGACTACCTATATATATGTACAACAGTGGGCCTGATGCTGATAGACATCAGGAATCATCAGGCTTCATAGATGAGATCTATATCTGATAGAGACTAGATTAGAAAAGAAATATATGATGCTATACAATAGATGGTGCTGGAACCACATTCTCTCCTATCAGATCAGACTTTGTCTCCAAAGACCTTAGATTGGGGGTCTGTTGGGTAGATTGAGTAAACTTGTCTCCAATAGGAGAAGAAAGGCTTGAGGGAGTTGTCAGAATCACATGTCATGTATGATGTTTTATAGATTCATTACCAGTAAGGCACTATCAGTAATGCTAATGTTTTTATTGTTTCCTTATGCAATTAATCAATTACTAGTGCTGGCTGTTCCCAATCTAGCAACATGTGTTTAATATTAACAAATTCTCTTCTCTTCTTTCTTTCTCTCTCTTTCTTTTCCTGTTGTGATTGTTTATTCTTCTCATTTATTACTCATCACCCATTCTCATTTCTTCATTGTCTCTGTTGTTTGTCTCATTATACATCAATTCTCAGTTTCTTTTTCTATATCTCTCAAAGGTCCATTATTGTCACTGTTCTTGTTTGCCCATCACCTATCTCAACTTGAGATTATATTCTATCTTCTTCTTTTCAAAATGTCTTTAAGATCATCTAAAACTTCTTCTTTCAAGCATTTCACTACTGCTGGTAGTTCTCTGTTGAGCTGCAGGTATAAATCAGACCATAAATGATCTGTATCAGATCTTGCTGATCTGAACCATCACACCCAAGTTGGTAAGTGACTCTCCTCTCAGGCCTGTCACTCTCATAGGCTTATCTTTCAAGCAGTGTCATCTCAGTTGAAAAAGAAAAGACATTGTAAAGTTGAACATCACAAGCATCTCTTTTCTACTGCTGTTACTGATAAGCAACAGTTGTCTCCTGATCTCTTTGTGGATAGTGAGAATGGTGTGGATACTGAAATGATTAATATTGATCTTACTGCTGAAATTCATATTGTGAATGATAATGTCAGTGGCAATAATAATTTCAGTGGTGTGGGGTCAGAGCCTACACTCCAACTTTCAATATTCATTAAAAAGTCTGTTGTTATTGCTGAGAGACTTCTCAAGAGATTTATCATCTTCATTAAGAAATTCATCATGAGCTCTGTTGTTCAAATTAAAGAGTTCACTGTCTCATCCACTGATATCAAGAAATCTGTTGCAAACTCTGTTGTTTGAATTGAAGAGTCTATTGTCTCAACTGCTAGTTCTATTTTTTTGACTGAAACCAATTCTACTGTCATCTTAAAGATTATCAACTTCACTGTCAGTATCACTCCTGACTCTGTTAGTGGCAATAATGACTTCTGTGGCACAGAGTTGAAGCCAATGCTATCATCTTTGTTATCTTGTTGAAAATCTCTTGATTTTCATGATTCTTTACTTCAGAGTACACCTCCAATCAACTTTCTGCTCTATCACAAATCAAACATTAAATCTATCATCTATAATCTCTTGCTGAACAAATTTTTTGATTTGCTAAAACATTTCAGTCAGATTTCTTCTCATGCTCTTCCAATCAAGACTTTCAGCACCCATCTCAAGAACATTGTCAACCTTTCTGATGATATTAATCTACAACTCATCATTCATTCTGTCATCTCCAATCAGATTGTTACTTCTTTCTTGTCTGTTCATGAACCTGAATCCAACACCACTGAAGTTTCTGATTGTGAACTTGAATATGAATCCATCAAGTTGGTTTCTCAACTCAGCATTCTCAGATATATCAAGACCTGAAATGAATCAGAGAATTCTGAACCTTCATTCAAAATTCTATCTGCCAATGATGGTTTGGTTTGTAACAACTTTGTTACACTCTTTTCTTCAAATCTCAATTTAATCATCAATCTTTCTCATTGCATCATGACTGTCTTTCTTAATACTGATGTCATCATCTATGAGATTTTAGATTTCACAGCTCATGTTTTTCATCACTTCTTCATCAGACCTACCACTCAAGCAGCTCAAGCTATCAGTCAGCTCACTATGGCTCAATCTGTTCAATGGCAGAG